CTCGAAATTAGGGCTTAGACTATACTGAAGCGAGTAATTGAAACTGCCTTACCAGGCCAAGTCCTGGCAGAGATCTGATCGCAAACAGGTTGAAATGAGGCGCAATAATCGTGAGTAAATGAACCAATAAACCCTATTCAGCAAAATTGAGCACTTGCGGCATGCATAGATAGCGAAAACACCGAAAGGAAACAAAGCACCTTGCCGAAATGACATCAGCCTTACCCCTTGGCGCTYACATGCTTTGGCGGTCCAATCATAGCAACAAGGTCAAGACTACTTTAAAATGAAGCTAAATCTTTGCATTCAATAGGCATAGAGATATWCATTGCAACTCAAGCACCAAGCCTAACGTTTGAAGAGCAAGGCGTCGACTATACTTATAAGCAGRAAAAAAGAGTCGCCTTCCTCTTTTCATCCAAGCCGGGTTTAGGAAGCAATATAGAATGCAGGAAGGAAGAACGGCAAYAGAGTAACCGAAGATTTTACGAGTGAGCAATCCCTTCCAAGTGAAGTCTTGCCTAATAGTAGTTCAGCAATGATCGAAGATAAGCGTAAGCAAGAAGCAGGATGAAGCAACCGAAGTAAAGCGAAGACCTTCCTTTGCACTGAATCGAACCGGAATCCAGACTAGGTTCAGAGCAAAGTGTMCTCACCTCAACCCTCGAAATTCGAGCGCACGTGCGCAACGAATAATGCAAAAGAAAAAACCTTCGTGTTACTTACTAAACCGTACTTGTGCTGGCGCAGGTTTGCRAGCGGAGTCTCCGCCGTTGCTCCAGGTAGCAGTCACGTGGAAAGCTCCCCGATGGCGCAGCCTTCCTTTCTAAATATAGGWAGTACGTTTCCTATTGCCGGTGTGAAAGGCAGCGTCCGCGTCGTTTCGGACGAGTTACAAGGCCTCCTGGCCCAAGACCCCAGGTAAGGGTCCCATATTGACAGGGTCCTCTGGTCCTGACTCTTCTGCAAATGGGCGGGAGAATTCCCGCTACTTTCTGACTAAGATAAGGGGCAATAGGACCCCTCTGAATTGGACGCTTATTCATCATTGAGCTGACCGGCCCCAGGCAATTCATACGTATTTGGTTTTACTCATCAAGTTCAGACATCTGGATTTGAACTCGGGTCTGTATTTCAACAGTTCATGGGTGTACCCACTGAGCTACGCTCTCGGGTGATTTTCTATTTCGAACTGTGGCCCTAAAAATGTCGACGAGAAACAGCCAAAAAAAAAAAAAAAAAAAAAAAAAAAAAAGAGAGAGAAGGACGAATTGAAAAGCGAGGCCAATCTCAAAGCGTCACTCTCGGGGCATAATCACTCTGCCACTCTCTGACCTCAATTGCGGCCACATTCAGTCCAACAGTCCCCATCCAGAGTGAGTCTGCCACTCTCTCTGCATGCCATTTGACCTCAATTGCAGGGGCAAGGTCCCACTAGCAAAGAGGATAGAGGATTGAAGACCTGAATCTGGACGTGTTGGTGGACCCGTTGAGAATGTCGAGACTGAACTGCTTTTCTGCATGTCTGCTTAAAACATGTCAAGATTCCGGATATTTATCCAATCCCCTTTGCTAGTGGGACCAGGCTCCAGGAAGATTCAGTTCAATAGGCCCCATCTTTTTTTTTCTTTTTTTTTTTTTCGCAAGCCTAGGTTGTTGTAGAGGCTTGACACTAGACGGCTGAGATCTCTCCCTTTTTTCTTTTTTTTTCAATTTATGAAAAGGCTTATTCGTTTTAGCCCAACCAATTCAATCACCTTTCGAATCTGACAGGATGACCTTTCAGGCCTTTTCTTTCTTCTCTTTTTTTTTATTATTATTCCTTGTTGTAGTCTTACGGGGGTCCGGGAAGTTGGGGGAGCCCCATAGCAGTGTTCATGCCTCCAATGAGGGAACGTGAAGGGGTCAGGTGTCAGACGGTAGCATCAGAGATGATGATGCCAGCTTCACCAATGGTCAGTGTTCATGCCTCCAATGAGGGAACATGTAGGGGGGGGGAGTACGCCGCCGCAGTTGGTAGCCCTTACTCACGATGCCAAATTGGCAAGTGCCTGTGCCTCCCCTCTGCTCCCCTTCCATATGAACATCAGCAGTGTCTAGATGCCGGCCGCAGTGGGGGGAAACGGGCTATCTCTAGATGGAGGGCACCAAGTATTCCCATGTCGGTACATGAGGCACTGGGGATCGCACCCATCCTTCTGAATGCCACTTGTGTGCCTTGCCAATTGGGCTAGGCCGCTGGCCGAGATCTCTCTACTTCCTGCAACGAAGCATCCAAATGAGAGGAACAGTCGATCGCCATTAGCCATCCTGGACTCCAACCAGTACAACATCAGAACTAGGTACCGAAAGGAAGTGTTCGAGAGACCTCTCTCTCTCTCTCTCTCTCTCTCTCTCTCTC